AACAATGTTTCAGCAGAATTTTTCTGAATTTCAGGGGTAGCAATAGTTGAGTACTGCCTTGATTTTCAATTTTCTCACATTGAAAGAAAATGTCAACTTTCATGGTCATTTCAGGGTCATTCGAAGATGTACGCCGATAGGATCCGATCTCTTCCGAAACATGCAGATCCGTGGAAATACTAGACAAATAGATGTTGTGTAGACGCTGTATAAATAGTACTTTTTAATAGTAAACGTTTTGAACGGACTTGTGTGAGATTAAATCGGCTGGTCTCAATCCAGACACTTCTACCGAACGTTTGTATTCATTCGCTCAACTTATGGAACCGTCGAAAATGCTATTCTTTGAACAGGGAGGAATATTTTTACGTGCTAGCCTGAAATTGTAATGTTAGTGAATCGAGGTCCTCCATTAGGAGATGACTCGAGTAACTCCAATGATGATGAGATGGGAGAGGAGGCGAGTGTTTGGATACGTCGCGATCGTGTGATCACACACCCTTACACTGATGCGATCTACTTTTTTATTTAGATGACATCTAGTCGGGGGTTCTCCGAAGAGAGTTGGTGTAGCGATGCGATGAAATCGGCGACAACATACGAAGTAAGTAGTTTTTTATGTCTGTTGTTATCGATTTATTCATTCAATAAATGCTGTTACTTGGTCATGTGCCCATTGCAATTATTTTTTCAAGGAGGACGAGAAACTTGCTGAGGAGCGCCTTATGAGTCTGTATCCCCGAGCAGAACTCAGGGTGTGTTCTATTTTTGGCTTTTCTCTTCGAAGAATCACTTCAGAAATAGTTTGTTCAAGATTTTTGTTTTCAAGTTTCAAGACAATGCCGCGACCAAGCAATTCCTAGGTATACTCCTTATACAGATAGTCTGATCCCAGTCTCTGGAACTGTCCCACTTTCGGTCTTCACAATAAGTCCTGAAGGCGCTGCAGTTTACAGAAGGGGCGTTCTGACACCTCCATAGTTGTCCTCACCGAGACTACTCGTGCAAGGAAGGAGGCCTACGAATTTCTTGAGCATGGTGTCTGTCTTCAATGAAAAATCGTCCATTTCACTGTGATGATGTCCTGTAGATAGGACGTCGTGCGCTGGGGATTCCCAGCTAAGGAGGAGGGGTGAGGGGGGTGGGGGTGGGTCGAGTTCGCTAGAGGAGGCGGGTCCTATTTGTTTCTGAGACTAGGTTTCTGGTTGTTGACTTTTCGTGGTTTTTCCCGTTTCAAGTAAGCTATTTACTCCCCGCCTCCCCCGAGACGTGTCCTGCCTGTAGATTCCGTATTTGCACTTGAAGTCAAAGAAAATTGAGCCCAGCTGGCGGTTGACGTCAATAAACGTCACGTTTGGACGAGCACAAAACAAAACCATAGTCAATCAGAAACTGGATTTTCGAATGTTAGCTACTTACTGCCCCTAACAGAGTGTTACCCGTTTCATTTCTAGCCACAAAATTTGATAGGAATGAAATAGGATCCAAATAAGAAGCACTAACATTTTCGACGAAGCCAGTTTGTATGCGCGCTAGGAAAATCGATCTAGAAAGCGTGCATTGATGTCAGCTCATGAAGTTTTGTGTGTTGAAAATTGATCCTCAGTGTAAGAATCAATGAACATGAGAAAACCCATTCGTCTCATTGTTCCTTCATGACCCTGCGATGGACAAATGAAAAATGTCAGTTGCTAACACGGGCCCACTGTCCCATCTCAACTTTTTGATCAGATCAATCAGTGGTTGTTCCTTTGCTTCTTTACGACCACTCATGCTTCATGATCTCTTTTTGCGATTCTTCGCTCTTTACAATTGCCTTATCTCATCGGTGCTTCAACATTCTTGGACTTTCACAGAACCCATTTAGGCGCAAATGACCGGGGGAGGGGCCACATTATGTCAGCATACAACCTTTATTAAGTCGTGACATGTGGATAACGGATAGTCGTGTCCCACCCTAAAAGTCCCGTCATTTCCTGTCAAAAGTTCTGTAAAGCTTATCGAAATGATTCTACCGTTATTGGAACGATATGACTCGTTGAAAGGTACGTTATTAACCGTTTTGACAAGTTTGAAAGAAGTTTACAGAGTTTTTGACGGGCGATAGCAAGGCTCGCAGGGTGTTGACAAGGTTGCATGGTTCAAGATTTAGTATGCTAGCAAGCGCTTGCAGGTGTGCGCCCACCTCACCCCTTCCCCCCACACTTCGCCCAAGGTTATTGAGTATGGGGATGTACCCCGTAAGCGCACTTTTCGTTGGAAAACTTGTGTTCTCTTGCAAATATTGCTTTTGAGTGGATAAATCATCAAATTAATTTTCTTATTTCGAGTTCGCATATGGCGATAGAAGCAGAGCCATTGTGCAGTGGAATAGACTTCAAATAGAATTGTGATTGGGTGTGATTGCAGCGTCTACCGCGATTGTGGAATAAAAACGATAAATATCACTTCTTGGATATATCACACAACTCCTTGCGAGTTAGTTATAAAGGTTTGACATCAGCCTTTTACTTTAACAGTGTTTCCCTTTACTGTTTTTAGTTTTTGTTGCAGGCAATGGAAAGCAGCAACAAAAGGATGCTGCGTCCACTCGAGCAGATTTCCCTATCCCTCCTCAATGTGGCGTGTATTATTTTGAGGTGTGCGCTGTGTCAGCCCTTAGACCGCGTTCAGACTTCGCGATTGCGCGACCACGACTGGGGCGCTCCACCACCAAGCCGTGCGCCGCCACAACGAATTCAAATTGGACCGCTTTTACCCAGTGAATTGTCGGTTTCACCCAGTGAATTGTCGGTGTGGTGGTGACACCGTTTGGCGGTGGAGCGTCGCCGGTCGTGGCCGCGCGACCCTGTCGAGCGATCCAACCGCGCGAACCAATCGAGCAATCGCAATGTCTGAACGCGGTCTCATCCGATTAGCACCGGTTGTAAATTGCTTTTATTTGGTTTTTAGATAACAATTGTCCGTGGATTGAAAGGCTGCATGGGCGTGGGTGTTTGTGGCAAATCCGTTAACTTGAACAGGTTACCTGGTGGGTGATATTTAGAATTTTGCCTCTAACGTTATCAGGAGTTACTTGGGTGTCTTCTCTGAGATTACCCAATTTTTTCATGAAATTAACGTTTTATCTTCTCAGGGTGGGACCGCGACTCGTATGGTTACCATGGTGATGATGGAAATTTTTTCTCTTCGTCTGGTAATGGTGTGTCATATGGACCGAAATTTACCTCTGGTGATGTAATTGGTTGTGGAGTGAACCTTGTGAATAGGACCATATTTTTCACAAAAAATGGTGTTCATTTAGGTAGGTCAAACTTTTTCGACGCATTTTCTCATGTTCCACGATAATTAGCTGGTTCTGTAGATGTAGCGCTGAAAAACAGCGCGAAAAAGACGCTGCAGATGAGGGCGTGTCAAGAGGGATGTTTCTGGCAAAGCGCCAATCCTTTTTTCCTCATTATTTGGCAAGCGCGAAGACTCTGCCTCATTATTTGTACCAGTCGTTTTCCACCAGTTGTTGTCGCTTACCCACTTTAAACAACTGGTGGAGAACGCCCTGGCGGCTCGCCAAACCTACTCACTGGCACTCCTCTTAATTCGCAGCGAACAAGACTGAATAGAGCACTGCTGCTTCAAAAGGGACTCCTAGACGATTCCATAAGTCCAGAAATTTCGGAAAATGGCAAACGGGGGCTCCTTCGGAGCGCTTCAGATGGTTTCTTTCGCTTTCTTCCTTTACTCATGTGTAACTTGGCACCGTCTCATACACCCTTCGTCCCATTACCCCAATGAGGTTATCGCGGAATGTTCCCGCAAGAATGGTCTCAGTTTGCACAATAATATCTCCAGGTATTGCTTCGCGGGAACTGACGCATATCGATGACCTTTATCCTACAATTGGCCTGCAAACCACCGGAGAAGTTGTGGATGCCAATTTCGGGCAACGGCCGTTCCGATTTGATATTCGTCCAGAAATGGAGGTTTGCCATACGGCTCGCAACGTTCGTTGTGATAGAGGTCACCAATTTGTTTTAAGGCCGCAAGAGCGAAAGTTACCAACGAAATCCTCTCCATTCAACTTCCCCCAGAAAAAACGGACTGGATGAACAAGTAATTTGTTTTCTATTTGCAGGCTGTTGCATTAGTTCAGTTGAGCGATTCCTAGCGGCATATTTCCAGGCTTGTATCGTCGTGGATGGCTTGTGAGGGATATAGCAAATCCATGACATCCTTTTGTAATGCCGCAAAACTGGTACCGGACGAGGGTGAACAAAGTATTGAAACTCGAAAGGGTGAGTCACGTGAGAGTCTCCGGTGTAAATTGTTGAAAAAAAGAATCCAATAATTATTTTACTAGTTGATCCTCTCTCCACCTGAATGTCTGTGGAAAATTCGAAGGGAAAAAACTTTTGGGTGATGCTATCCAAATTCTTGGTATACGAAAATATGTTTTCAAACAGTCACTCTGTTCATCTGATCCTCAAAGATTCTGTACGTTGGCCTGAGAGCCGGATCCTTTCCGTGCACTGGGTGTGCAGGTCCACATTTTTTCGTCACATGAAAATGCTTGGCAATAAGCTGGATGCTTGTGATAGCCTTATGTTCCATATATACCATTTTCACTTTAAATTCACCCTTTTCAAACCAAATTCACCCTTTTTCAAACCAAATTCACCCTTTTCAAACCAAATTCACCCTTTTTCAAACCAAATTCACCCCTTTTCAAACCAAATTCACCCACCTTCCGAATCGAATTCACCCCACCTTCCGAATCGAATTCACCACACTTATTAGGCTGCGCAATTCATCAACCAAATCACGCCAGACACTACTGCGGGCCCCGCCCCCTCGGCCACGCCCACTTGCTTTTTGCGGAATTTTGATATTTTTCAAAATTTTTGCATTTTTGGACTGCTACGTGAAGCCCCGCCCACTGTGAGAGGCTCCGCCCACTTTGAAGAAGCCCCGCCCACTTTTCAAAAATGGTGCAAATCGGCAGTATAGGGTCTTGGCTTTCATGCTAGGGTCTCGTTCGTCACTCGGAACAAGAAAATCAGGCAAAGTTTGTTCCGAATGATCAGCAATACCCTAGCATGAAAGCCAAGACCCTATACTGCCGATT